TGAAGAAGAACTGAAAAGAGAGAGCACAGCAGATGTCATAACTATAGCCGTGAGTTTCCTTGTTTGCTTACCTTCAAAATTCTTTGGTCTATCTTGATGCCATCTTTTGCTTTTAGTTTTTTCTGTTTGTTCTTACTCTGTTTTTTTCCTAATATGTATTTTATTTGCTACTCCTTTGCTTCAGATAAGTTATCTTGTCATGTTTGCGTATATATCACTCGCACTAGGCGGAGCACCTCGATTGAACTCCTTTTACATAACCTCTAAGGTATGACAACGAATCTCTGATTTATAGTGTTACTGTGGTATTTTAAATGTAGTTACGTTTTAACTTCAGACAACATATTTTCTACACTGCTTTTTCTGAAATGCTGAAATATAACCTTCTTAATTTCAGGTTCTGCTTGGTCTATCTGGTGTTGTTCTTGTCATGCTGTCTGTCCTTGGTTCCGTTGGATTTTTCAGTGCCATTGGGATGAAATCGACTCTAATCATAATGGAAGTCATACCTTTTCTTGTTTTGGCTGTAAGTCTTGTCTGTTTCTAATTTTGTTTGCAACTACAATCTGTAGCTGGTGTTTTGGGGAACGTTCTTGATTTTGTTTTAACTTTTCTTTACGACACAGGTCGGTGTTGATAACATGTGCATACTGGTTCATGCTGTTAAAAGGCAAGAGAAAGAGCTGACGTTGGAGATAAGAATAAGCTATGCCCTCATGGAAGTTGGACCATCGATTACTCTTGCGAGTTTAGCTGAGATTTTAGCTTTTGCTGTTGGTGCTTTTATCAAAATGCCAGCTGTTCGAGTCTTCTCCATGTTTGCTGGTGAGTAAAAGTTTTTCAGTATACAGTTTGAATGCTTTTCATTATATTACTTCTGTCTTTTTAACGATTCTATGCGTCTTTGTTGCAGCATTGGCTGTCCTTTTGGACTTTCTTCTCCAGGTTACTGCTTTTGTTGCTTTGATAGTTTTTGACTTCCGACGAACAGAGGCTAAGCGAGTCGATTGCTTCCCATGTATTAAGACATCACATTCATCAGGTAGTGCTGACAAAGGTAATATCACTTTTGTGTTTTGATATGTCAATCATAACCTCCTTTATTGTTGAAAGTTTTGTGAAACCAAATTTTCATTGGAGTTGCTTCGTAACACTTTCAGGGGTGGTTGGTCAGAGAAAAGATGGCCTTTTGACTCGATATATGAAGGTATTTTATCTAAACCAACTTTTAACTTAGGATATGGTTTCAGTTTAGTATATATTCAGATTTCTTTTAAAAAAAGCATCTTACACTTTCCCTTGAATGCATTTCTCAATCTGTGAAAGTTATTTACATTCTTTACTTTCAGGAAGTCCATGCACCAATTCTCAACAATTGGGCAGTCAAAATATTGGTTATTGCTTTCTTCTTTGGCTTAGCAATGGCTGGAATTGTGAGTTGATACATTTTCTTACCTATAAGAGAAATGTTTACATTGTTCATTTGCCGTTGAGATTACCTTCTCTAACTTGTTGTGTTTATGGACCATGTAGGCATTGTCTACTCGGATTGAGCCTGGTTTGGAGCAACAGATTGTTCTTCCTCAGGACTCTTACCTTCAGGTTTACATTTTTACCAACAGTAAAGTACCGCAAATCGAATGTAGGATATCTAACAAGTGCTCCTCTTTTCCATATAGGGTTATTTCAATGATATTGCTACATATCTTCGAATTGGTCCACCTTTATACTTTGTTGTGAAGAACTATAACTACAGGTATGTATCTCACGTTCTTCTCTTAGCTGTTAAGAGTTTGGCTGATATAATTTGGTTCAACTTGTTATTAAAACTCAATTTGCCTCATGTCTCAGCTCAGAATCAAGACAGACAAATCAACTTTGTTCCATTAACAAGTGTGATTCGAATTCTCTTCTAAATGAGGTATATAGCTCGCCTGCATTTATTTTTATTTCCCCTCATAGTGATAGTACAATTTGTTTCTTTGTCTCTGAATCATGGCTCTTTCATTATAATTTGCTACATCTTCTTTAGCTGTTGACATTAATTTGGTTTCAGCTAATCTAACAGGAACATTGTTAGCAGAGTATCTGTTCTTTAGCATTTTGAGGATCTAAATTTTCATTCTCTTCTATACAGATTGCAAGGGCTTCTTTGACACCAGAACTAAGCTACATAGCTAAGCCAGCTGCTTCATGGCTCGATGACTTTCTTGTGTGGTTATCTCCTGAGGCATTTGGCTGTTGCCGGAAGTTTACAAATGGTACCTTTTGTCCCCCTGATGACCAGGTATATGCTCTAATTTCATATTGTTATATAATATCATTATGGTAAAAAAATGTGTAAGAGAAATTTAAGACTAATTCCCTTGTACTTGTGTTGCATTTCTAGCCTCCTTGTTGCCCTCCTGGTCAAGGAAGCTGTGGTCTTAGTGAAGTATGCAAAGATTGCACAACGGTAATTTACTCGCGTGATGATCTAATCGAATTTAATCTATGTCTTTGTGACTCTCCTCAACATCTGAAATGTTGACTTGCTTCTGTTGTTATACAGTGTTTCCGTCATTCAGATTTAAGTAGTGACCGCCCATCGACAATCCAGTTTAAAGAGAAACTTCCTTGGTTCCTCGATGCTCTTCCTTCTGCTGATTGTGCTAAAGGTGGCCATGGTGCTTATTCTAGCAGTGTTGATTTGAAAGGTCCTCACACTGTCTCCTCTTTCTTTCTAAATCCATTTTGCAGACATTGTATTTGATATCCAAATCTGTGATATGGATTTTTTCTTTTCTTACCAGGCTATGAAAATGGTATCATTCAAGCTTCATCGTTCCGCACTTATCACACACCCCTTAACAATCAGGTACTTTCTTATCTCACAGTATATGATATGAGTTTATTATGTTATCTTGTAAGTTTATACTGTAACTTTCTTTTCAGGTTGACTTTGTTAATTCAATGAGAGCTGCTCTAGACTTCAGTTCAAAAGTTTCTCGTTCCTTGAAGGTAAAAATAAATATACTATGAGACTATACCTATTGATGCTAGTTGAATTCTTTCATATTTTGATATCTTCTTGATCAGAAGAAGCTCAAAAAGATTTACCTTTCTTCTCAGTGAACTTATTGACTTGAATTTTTTTTTGTTTCAGATGGAGATATATCCATACTCAGTGTTTTATATGTTCTTTGAGCAATATCTTGATATATGGAAAACTGCTTTAATCAACCTCTCCATAGCCATCGGTTCGTACATCTTCGAATCCTAGATTTCTATTCGAGTTTTTACATTTGAACTTATTTGACTTAACATCTGAACTTACTTTGAATGTTCCCATCATTTTACAGCTGCTGTCTTTCTCGTGTGTTTAGTCATCACATGCAGGTATCACTATTAACCTCAGTGATATTTACCTCAATCTCTGCGTTAGTGACTAAACCTGATTCTCCAAATCTTTTTTCTTGTGTGCTTTCAGCTTTTGGAGCTCAGCAATTATTTTACTGGTGATCGCAATGATCATTATTGATCTCCTGGTAATTCAAGTCTCTCATTGTTACTCATACCTGTTTTTCATACACTCAGCTTTACTAACGTTATACACTACAGGGAGTTATGGCATTGTTTCATATCCAGCTAAACGCACTGTCGGTTGTGAATCTAATCATGTCCGTTGGCATAGCGGTTGAGTTTTGTGTACACATAACACACGCGTTCAACGTCAGTTCTCTTCTGTCTTTATTATAGCAGTATTCACAACTAATATGATATACTCATCCTAACCGGAGTTTCATAAAATGCTCAGATAACCATTGGGGACAGAAACCATCGGATGAAAGAGGCGTTAGGTGGGATGGGAGCTTCAGTTTTCAGGTACGAACCAAAGTCTGTCTTAATTAACATATTTTGTGGATTATTGAATTAATCCTAATTGTGGATTGTGTGCAGTGGAATTACATTGACGAAGCTAGTCGGAGTGATTGTGCTTGGCTTCTCAAGATCAGAAGTATTTGTGGTACGTGCTTTGTGATCTGATCTCTTGAAAGCCTTATTTTTCTCCTTACCATTTCATTTATGGCTTCTGAATTTGTTTTCTTTTTGTTTATTTTCTTCTGACAGGTCTACTACTTCAAGATGTATCTAGCATTAGTTCTTCTCGGTTTCTTGCACGGTCTTGTATTCTTACCGGTAAGTCAAAACATTCCTTCATGTTGTAAGATTTGTTGTTGTTGTGACATGTGAGACTAATGGCTTTGAATGGATGATGAAGGTGTTCTTGAGCATGTTTGGTCCAGCTCCAAGACGTGTGGAAGGCGAAAGACAAGATCATCGACCTGCGGTTTCATCGCTACCGTAGCTGAATTATTTTTTGTGTTTGTTTTAGGTACTTTTATTATTTTATTACATCCATTTGTAAATGGTTAAAAATTGTTTCACCCATAGCCACATGGAAAGCTAAGTTCAGTTCACAGATGAAAAAGAAAAGAAATACACCAAATCAAAGCTCTCACAAATGAAAAAAAGGACACAGATTATGTTCACAGAGCAATGCGTAGAGGCTTCAATGTTTTTCGTAGATGCTCTTCAACACACGACCAAAAAGAACAAGAAGTCAAAGAACCAAAGGAAAGAGAGAGTAAACTACTAATCCATAACTATCACAAGTCATTTAGTGGAACAAGTCATTTAGTGGAATGGGGCAAATTAATTTAGGAGAAATAATAACGCCCCACATTTCTTCTTGAACCGTAATGTCGGTTTGTTCCGGTTAACTGATTGTCTTGAATTGTAATATCGGTTTAATCCGGTTAATCGATTGACTCTCATCACTCTCGAACTGAAATCTGAAATTAGGGTGGTGTCGCCGATTTCTCTCTCTCTCTCTCTCTCCGCTAAACTTTGCTTTTTTTTTTTATCACTCGAAATCATATGTTGGCTCTATTTCCGCTTTGAAAGACAAAAGTACGTTTCTTTCCAGAGATTCGTCATCTATTTATACTGCAGAGACGATGATGGATTTCATCAGCACTCTACCAGACGAGGTTCTCTGCCATATATTGTCCTTCCTTACCACAAAGCACGCTGCTTCCACATCAGTTCTCTCAAAGAGATGGCGCGATCTCATTGCATTTGTCCCTTTCGTCGAAATCGACGACTCTGACCTTCTCCGTCCCGAAAGAGACGGCGTTCTCGAGATATTCATGGATTTTGTGGACAGAGTGTTGGCATTGCAGGGTGATTCTCGCATCAAGAGATTCATACTCGATTGCAAAGCCGGTATCGATCCAGATCGTGTGAACCGTTGGATACGTGTTGTGCTGCGGCGCAGCGTTTCGGTGATTTCGTTATGCACTGATTTTGGAGACGAGTATCAGTTGCCTCCGGAGGTGTTTGTGAGTAAGACGCTAGTTAGTCTCAAACTAAAAGGTGGGTTTGTTCTTGATTGGATCTCTCGTGGCAGCGTTTCCTTACCGATGCTTAGAAATCTCTTTCTTAGCTCAGTTGGGTTTCGTGGTGGTCAGTTTAAGATGCGTCTTCCTGCTTGCCCTGTGATTGAGACTATAGACATGGAATTTATGGATTGGATGGTTTTCGATGTCAACGTGTCAAGCGAAACCCTCAAGGAGCTGTTTATCTGCTGTGATGGTAGTTACGAGGATCCAGAGAGCGTTTGTTTTGACACTCCGCGTCTGGTTTACCTTTGGTATTCCGATTTTGTTGCCGAAGACTATCCAAAGGTTAACTTGCCAAACTTAGTCGAGGCTCGAATCGACCTGAAACTAGATGAACATCTGTTCGAGCTAGCGAGAGAAACAAACGTTGATGGCGGCGTTGAGTATGACGACGAGGAAGATGATGTTTTTCTCCGGTTTCGTAATGTGTGGAAGCTCTTTAGTGGCATGAGAAATGTTGAGAAACTCTACTTGGCTCCTAATACTCTTCAGGTCAGTTTGCTATTTATAATCTCACTTCAATTCATAAGATTTTGAAACAAACATTGAGATTTTGAACCAAAGATTGCAGTAATGTCTAGTTGTGTTCTGTTTTTTTTTTTTTTTTTTTTTTTTTTTATCTTGTTTTCAGGTGCTTTCTCTGTGCTGTAAATCAATGCCGGTGTTCAACAAGCTCAAATTCTTACATATCAGGAGTTCCGAGGATCGAGGATGGCAAGCAATGCCGGTTCTCTTAAAGAACTGTCCAAATGTAGAAACTCTAGTCTTTGAGGTATGAACGAACACTACCACACTCTCATTTGTCAAAAAAAAAAAACAGTAACAAAGACATGTATCATATGGTAAAGACAAGTGTCTGTTCATTTCAGGGACTGTTACACTATGTGACGGATAAATGCGGGAATGCTTGTGACTGCGTATCTCGGGAGGACAGAGGTAGTTCGCTTCGATCTTGTCGGGTGAAGAAGTTAGAAATCAAAGGGTTTCGAGGAACAAAGAGAGAGTTGACGATGATAAAGCATTTCCTGCTCTCGTTTCCGGGTTTGGAGGAGATGTGGATACATGCTCAAGTGAAAGGTCATACGGAATTAGAAGTCCCTGGAACGTATCCACTTGTCGTCGAGATGATTAACCTCTTCTGCGAGATATCGAGCTGTGATGTTCATTTCCTGGTGCCAACTCACTTGTCTAAGAAATTGTCTCTACACAATGAATGAAGAAAAACTTGCTCACAGTTGGTTTCAAGTAGTCCTTGGAGTTCTTGTTTACAAGCTAAAAGATGTCAAAGTTTATGCTTTTTCTTAACTCTTCTCACTAATGTTTCAAAAATGAGAGTGCTTTAATTATACAATTGCTTGGTTTATGAGAGATGATGCAAGTTTTTTTCGAAAGTGGCAATCTTTGTTTTGTTGAATAGCCAGATTGCTCAGTTTTTTTATCTTGTTCTTCAATTTTAATGGAAGTGATTGAGAAGACAAAGAAGAAGAACAAAAGCGGGTTTTACACAACATTGCCAGCAAGTCTGGAGTGGTGTCTTACGTGGCAAAAGCTTTTAATTCTATTGGTTGGTAGCAACGTAGCCAAGCGATGACGTGTATTTCTACATTTTTCAAAAACCTCTGCTTTGCCCAAAGGAAGAGAGAGGGAGACAGATCAGAAGAAAACGGAGGTTGATGATGGCGAAGCTAGTGCTCTTCACCGTCATAATTATCGCGATTCTCTCCCACGGAACCGCCGTCGATGATAAATGCGCTGCTTGTAACGCCGTCGCGGTATGTCGGAATCTCTAACTTTCTGCTCTTTGATTTCTCAATAATTTCAGACGAATTAGGTCCACTTATACACTTATACAGCGAAATGTTGAATATGTGCGTAGAAATTGCTACTGAATATTAATTTCCGAAATAAACTTCAATATGGAGGATTGGATTTTGATTTGTGTGTTCGACATTTTTGGGAAGTTAAGTATATTCGAGCCGATAGTGTTTGTGTTTGAAACTCTCTTGATGTTTGAAATAGGATAAATTAAAATTCATCCAAGAGTTGCTTTTTGAATATAATTGTGAAGCGATTTAAGAATATTCTTACAGATCGAATTAGCACTCTGGGAATTGCAAGTTTGAGCTATCCTATTCCTATATATTAAGCTCTTTTGTTCTGTTTCTGAGGATGAGAGTAAGAATTGCAATGAGAACTTGGTTTTGTTTCAGTGAGAATTTTAAGCTCTTTGTTCGGTTTATGGAGCTTTGTTCTTCTACTTCTACAAATAGTTTGGTTTTCCCCCAATTCATGGCATTTGGTTATATGAGAAGAGATTTAAGAAAACGACTTAAACCTTTTTCTGAAACTAATAAGAGTGCTCAATATCGTGCAGGAGGAATTGGAGTTACAGCTTTTGAAGGTATAGTGTCTGTCATCTTGTAATATAACATTAGAAGAGTGTAAAAGTTTGCTGCAATGCTTACGAGCAATTTTTAAGTAACTTGATACTGTATCTTAAAACAGGAAAAACCACGGAACCATCTTGATTTGAGAAACCGACTGAATTCTAAAGGCCAGCGTGAAGGAAAGGTTATCGATTACAGGTACGACATTAGAGCCTCATTGTGCCTCATTAACATTAACATGTATCCGTAGTTAGCAGCAGTAACGAAACGCTAACAGTTGGACACTAGTAAGAGTGTGTGTCAGTTGAAGTAAAACAACAATGGATACAGTATGGTGTTTCAAACATCTGTTAAATCTTCCTGGAATAGTTATGTTGCTGTTATAGACATGTTTCACAGAGGGGATGATTTTTTTTGTAATTTTTCTTTTCAAATAGAATAAGCGACCTGAGAGTGGTGGATTTGTTGGACGGGCTGTGTGATAGAATGCAGGACTACACTCTACAAAAGGTAAGTCTAAGTTCTTGTAGAATTCTGACTATTCTGTGATTATTGTAAAATTGATCAACTACATTCTTATTGCCTCACTTACTGCAGGTGGAATCTAAGAATAGACAATGGGTCAAAGTGAATAGTTTTGACAATCTTTCAAGTAATGTGTACTTTCCTTTAGCTCATAAATCATCATCTCTACGTGTATTAGTACTTTAGAGTCTTGTTTGGATTTAAATGTTCTGCGTTTTGTGTATTGTCATAGATAAGCAAGAAGCTAAAGCGCATGCGAATGACATTGCAACTTATTGTGGAAGGTAAAGACTCTATCAAGAACCTCCTCTTATCCAGTTTGAAATTCATCAAACTCGTCTAAAATCTGTATGCGATTTTCTTGACACAGATTGCTGGAGGAAACTGAAGATGAGGTAATCTTAATTTCTGTTAACCTTTCTCTTAAGTGATGGTTAGAGTCAGAGCAAGTTTGGTTGATGTTGATTGAGAGATTTGCAGCTCGGTGAGGTTATAAAGAATGGTTCCCTAAAAGTAGGAGACGCCAGCAAGGTTTTGTGTCAAACTTTAAGTAACCACTGCAGCAAATCAAGGTTAGTACGTTCATCTATAAGAATTAACAGAATTTCACAATCTTGTAGTCGTTACTGTTTGTTATATCATTTATCTGTCATGCTAGAAATCTGATATTAGTCCATATTTCAGTGAAACAGACTCAGAAGATGAGGACGACGATGCAGATGAATTATAGCTTAATCTCATCTTTTATTTACCATCAAGTGAAGGTCCCTTTACAGAGACATTTTGTTTGTGTCGTCCAAACTATAGAGACTTTTGTCGACGACTCATAATAGACGCCTTTTTAATTTCAAGTTTTATTTTCATACTTAACTACAGAAAATTATTTTAAAATTTGGGATAGTTATGGCCTTCTCTATTAAAAAACAAAAAGAATTATTTGCTGTCGAATTAAAAAGAAACTTATGTGCTAGCTGGATCAAATTATGAAAATAATCTAAATATTAGATTTATTAACATAAATTGACTATTCGAAATTAGAAAACTTCCTTTGTTGATTATTTTGCATAACAATTATTTTGTTCATTTACCAATTATAATATTGAATTTTTAATTAATTTTATGTATTAACACATGTTTGGTTATAATAATTTTACATATCCTATTCACCTCGTGCGTATCCAATTTCTTATGCGATTAAACAGAAGAAAAATGTGTTTTCTCCTTGTATATCCTTACAAACAAAACAAAAAAATGGAGAGGAAAATAAGAGGATTTGAGGGATTAGCTAAGTTTAACGTTTGGATTTGGGGGTTTCAAATCAGCGGTGAGCCAAAGAAGCACTAGATCGCATAATTAAAGTCTTAGATAAGATTGCATCATAGAAACAAAATTTAAGGGATGATACTTTAATGTGATGTCGAGATAGTGGACCTGAGACACAATATCAGTTCACTTCAATTACAAACCTAGGGATTGTATGCGTAGAAGGGGATTCTAATTGATTATATCTAGCTAGTCATTAAATAGGTGAAAACTAAGAAAATAGTCAAAAAGGTATATGTTATCAACACACAACAACAAAAAGGGTGATGAAGATATGAACGATGTTTTTGGGGCCTGGCGAAACTCATCAAGAGTCGCAGATCATTAGTTTTATTAATTTACACGGATTTCCATCAGGAATACAATTTGAACCTTACAACCAGATCAACGAACACATAATTAAGGAGCTGATACAAAGGAGATTATGGAACAATAAGACATAGCGGTAGCTAAAATATTCCTACTTGTCGGGTATTCCTCTCTTTCCACAATCCATGAATCGAGGCCTTGAAGAGTTAGATTACATATGGAGCCTGATCAAACCCACAGAAAAATTGCATACCACCCTAATAATTACTGGGATGGTTGAGTAAAGATGCATGAAACCTTTACAACAAAATATTGGTGAAATCATTTTCTTAGGGTAAAACCATTCTTTGACTCCACTTATAAAAAGAGTGTATGTAATAGAGGTAGTCGGTTCGGTTTGGTCCTGGTCCAGTTGTTTCAGGTTTCAAGTAGTTTGGCTATCAATTTAGCTTGGTTTGGTTCGGTTAGGTTCATATAATGTATAAGAAAACCAGAAAATGTTTCATTGAATCACTTGTCATATGATATATGATCTTATCATTATCACCTAATCACTTGTCAAGGTGTCACAAGTTAAGTGGCAAGCTTATCCCTCTTCTGTCTATCAAGCTTATCACCTAATCACTTGTCAGATATCACAACTTAATGGCAATCTTATCCTCTCTTATGTCCCAAGCTTATCACCTAACCACTTGTATGTCATAACTTAGTGGCAATCTTATCCTCTCTTCTGCACCTAATCACTTGTCAGATGTCACAATTTAGTGGCAAGCTTATCACCTAAATCACTTGTTAGATGTCACAACTTGGTGGCAAGCTTATCCTAGATCTCTTCTGTATGTAAAGCTTATCACCTAATCACTTGTCATATGTCACAAGTTAGTGGCAAGCTTATCTCTTATGTATCTCAAGCTTATCCTCTCTGTCTCTCAAGCTCATCCTCTCTCTTTATATATATCTCTCTCTCTAAAGCTTATCGATCATCTCTCTCTCTCTCTCTATATATATATATATATATATATATTGAGAGATTCACAGTAATGGTGGACGTCTTCGGCGATCTGGAGATTTTGAAAGAGCATCGGAAGATCTACAAGGAATGGTTCATCATCCCGATTCAGGTGTGAGAGTTTTTTCCCCCATTTTTGCTTTCAATTGGATTCAATAGTCTCGCGTACTTGTTATGTTGATTTTGGTTTTGTGTCTCTCTGATAATTCAGATCGAGACGACGGTCGTGTTTCTGGGATCGATGCTTCAATGTTCTTCGCCATGTCCAACCTAGACAGGTTAGATTCTTACGAATCGATTATGTATTCTGCTGGTACTTGGTTTGAAGATTGACTTTGTTGATTTCGTGAATCCATTGAAAACTTTTGAGACCATGTTAAACCTAGGGCTGACTGGAATTATTTAAATTTGTTTTCTCTCTCTCTCTCTTAACACGCCGCCAAGATCTTTGAATCAATTAGGGTTTACTTTTTCAAGGATTACGGTTTTAATTTAAGTCTAGGGTATCCTTAAAAAAAATTAATTTTAGTTATATATAACGTGTATAATAATACTTTAATTAACATGTAAATTTTTTTAACAAAACGTAAAAGAAAATTCTATTATGTGTAGTAATCTGGAATGGAACAAAATAGCATTTCATTTTATGACTTTTATTTATATAAAACGATGCCTTTTCACTTAAAATCATATATTACTTTCTCGAATAATACTTTTTCTTTCTACAACTTTAAACCATGACTTACGCAGAAAATAATATATTTAGGACTTTACGAATAAATCAATTTATAATTATTAAAAAAAAAACCACACAATTATTAAAGACGAAAACAATTTAAGTATTTATATAGACTTCATATTTAAGAAAAGAGACAAGAAATGTAGTTGTCTCTCTTTTTTTTTTGTCATCTAAAGATATTCTTGAAATTTCAAAGATAATCTTAAAAGGATTGCAAAAAACCTAAAGCTCTCACAAGAGAAACAAAGGCGAAAAATGATTAAATAAATAAACAAAACCCTCTGAAAAAAAAACGAGCCCTATGAAGGGAAAGCAAAAACTAAATATGAATTAAACCCACTTTTCAACACTCACTTTTCAATAATATATTTCGACACTCTCACTTTTCAATCCGAACAAATCCAACCTGAGCGGCCACCGTAAAAACCTTTTCACTACACAAAACCCTCAGAGAAACCCTGCCAAAACCGTTATGCGTTGATGTGTTTTTGCGTACTCCTCGGGTTTAATCTGAAAAGGCTTACCATGGACTTCCTCATGACTTTGTTTACGTTATCATTTCTTATTCTTCTCACTACGTCTTTTCTTTCTTTCCGTTTTAGTCTCATCTTTACCATGAAATAACCTGATATGCGCATCCAATATCTGTGGGGTTTCACAAAGACGCTTGTACTTGGGACATGTATACCACCGTTTTCATCCTCTTCACTTCTTCCGTCTTCCTGATAATTAATAGTCATGGGTTGCTTCAAAGAATTTAGATGCCTTTCAGATTTTCTTCAGTGGACCTGCCATCTTTAGGGACATATTGCTGCACCATGGTGTTTTGGCGACAAGGAAAATGGTTTTAGGTTTTGACGAGATGAAGAATCTTGCAACTTTTCTTGCAAATCTTCTTGCACCTCTTGTAGTAAGCAGCGTACTCGAGATGTCTAGGGATAATATTTTAACGCTGATGATTATTATCCTTAACCTTTCGATTACGCTTATTTACTATAAGAGATGCAAAAGAATTTACAAGAAGAGTTACTAGATTCTGCAATCTCGTCGGAATTAAGACTCAGTTTCCTTGTCGCCAAACACTATCTTGAGCAATCTGTTCCCAAAGACGGCTGGTCCCTGAAGAAACTCTGTAAAGCGACCGAGTTCCTTGAAGAAATCAATGACTATATTGATTACTGAGAAGTAGGAAGAATTGAAGTTGATAAAAACGATGGTATATATACATGTTCCAAGTGTGAGTGTCTTTTTGATACTTCACATATTTTGGCTGCACATATATGGTTAGTTCATTGTAGGATGAGACTTAAGAGGATAAAAAGAAAGACTTGCTGAAAATAAAATAAAAGATGATATCATAAATAAACTCTATAGAAGGTCCATGTAAATTTCACATCAACCCCAGCGAGCTTTAAGTCAGCGATGGTCTGAAACTCTGAATGCTCTCGTGTAGCGGACGTGCTTTTACTTCCCATTTGTTGTGATTCTCCTCCATGTTGTGATCGGGTATGTTTTACATAATAAACAATATGTATCCTACTACTCTTGCGTTGTTGACGTGCTTTTGCTTACTTGTTGGGTTTGATCTGAAGAGACTTACCATGGACCTCCTCATGATTTTTTTTTACGACATGGTTTTTTATTCCTCTCATAAATTATTTTCTTTCTTTTCTTTTTAGTCTAATACTTACCATGAACTAACCTTGTATGCCTAGCCAAGATCTGTGTATACGTACTATCGTTTTCATCATTCTCACTTATTTCCTTTTGCTGGTAATTAATGTAGTCATTAATTGCTTCAAAGAGATCAACTGTGTGACGGATTTACTTCACTGGCTGACCATCTTTGCGAACATATTGCGTACAATGGATGGCCAGAGAAGAAAATCTGTAAAGCAATTGAGTCCCTTGAGTCAATTAATAATGACTATAATGATTACCACCAAGATGAAAAAAGTGAAGATGATGATGAAAACGATGGTACAGCAGGTGATATTTCACAGTTGCGCATATAAGATTAGTTCACTGTAAGGGTTGAGGATCTATTTCCCCATGAGAAGTATGCAGTCGCATTAGATCCACCTCAAACTATGACCTCTTGTATTTCCCCATAGAATGAAAGTTAAAGATTGAGGTGGATCTAACTGCATGCATACTTCTGGTGGAGAGATAGATCTTCAACCCTAACCGTAAGGATGAGAATAAAGAGGATAGAAAGAAACACTTGCTGGGAAGAATAAAAAACGATACCACAAACAAAATCTTTAGAAGGTCAATGGTAAGTCTCTTCACATGCTTTACGTATTTTAATTTCTTCACCGGCCATATTTTGGGCTACTCTACTAAATGTCCCAAACAGGTTTCAAGTTAGTGTTTCAACCAATATTATGGCCAACAATACCGCTCCTTTGCAAAATACGCACCATAGAAAACAATAGTGTCTAGCTTTCAAAGTTTGATGAAGACATAAGCAATGAATTACCCACAGAAACCACAATCCCCATCAACTAGGAGCCATCAAGAACAAGATCTGGTACAAGGACCATGCCAGAAGAATTAAGCATGAGGACATCATTAAACTCATGACTCAACCTACACTCAAGCCAGACACACCAAGTCATCCCACGACCACGACTTAAAATTACTTTAAAAAGTTCAAGATAATGAAGGACACGTGAGCACAAGTTCTAGCCCAACCGTTTGTATCTCCACAAGCGAATGGCCACTCCCTAAAAACAAGCTTCAACCCAACTTTGTTATACTATATCTCGCCAAACGAAAACGACAAGGCATAAGAATGGACGTGAGAAGCTTACCATATCAATAATAGCGTCCGCAACAAGTTAGTATCGTGAAGGCCATTAATTTTTATATTGGGTAACAACAATACATGTAATTCAATATTGTGACACAAGTGTAGCGGTAAAGTCTGAACTTAAGTGGATACTTTAAATGAACATAGAAAGTCTTTAATCATGTATGATGATTTTAGCCACATTGTGTATATTTTGAAAGGTTTTAATGGAGATGAGTTTGTGCAGGGCCAGGTTTGCATAGTGTCAAGCTAGGTTTCAAAACGTCTTTTAACATTCATGTTTGGATCAAGCGAAGTAGGACTCAATCAAGGGACGTGGAAAATAGATACTTTATTTGGCCGGTGGACCAAAATAAACATAACATAACATCTGTAATTGTCAATTCCTTTTCAACAAGTAGTTTTGAACAGAAAAGCTCATTTTTAATGAGGTTGAATATATATTTTTTATTATTTCCCAGATCACTTTCACTTGTAGTGTTTGACGCAATTTAAAATATTCCTAAAAAGAGAGATCGAGATTTAATAAAGAAAGAAAATCACAAGAAACAAGTTGAAAGGTTTCTTTTTTTTTTTTGCCAAAAAAAGTGAAAAAAAAAGTGAAACGAACAGACACGTGAATGCGTTTCCTCAGTTCTTTGAAGAATATGAGGTTGGGATTAATCTCAATTCATCAGCGAATCTGATTCGTCACTTTGTTCTTGCCTCTCTCTTCTCCTTCTTCAATTCTTCTCTCTCACTTAAAATTTTAGTTTTTTCTTCTTTTCAATTAGAAATTGCAGAAGCTCTAGTTAGCTTCCATAAGCTGCAAGGTATAGCTCACTAAGTTCGATTCACTTAATTCGCCTTAGTTCGCTTCGCACAATTTCTGGGTTTTGTTTAATCCTACTTGCTCAAACTCATCTTCTGATTCGATGGGTCAATTTTAACTTCTAAAAAAAAAGTCAACTTATTTCTCTTGTTGCAGAGATGAAGCAACTCTGGTCTTTGTTGTCTTTGTTGTTCTTGTCTTGTCTTTTTATCGGACAAGGACGAACAGAGAAACCAAAAGTCGTCAAAATCGGTTCAATATTCAGTTTCGATTCAGTAATCGGCAAAGTCGCTAAGATCGCGATTAACGAGGCGGTCAAAGATGTCAATTCAAACCCCGACATCCTCCACGGAACACATCTCCAAGTCTCAATGCAAAACTCCAATTGCAGCGGCTTCATGGGCATGGTCGAAGGTAATTCGTAAACCCAAACCCATTTTTAAAATGTTTTTTAGTTACTTAATCTGTTTGGTAATGAAATTTATCTCTTGTAGCATTGAGGTTTATGGAGAAAGACATAGTTGGAATCATAGGACCACAATGCTCTGTAGTTGCTCACATGATCTCTCACATGGCTAACGAGCTACGCGTCCCTCTTCTCTCATTCGCTGTAACCGATCCCGTGATGTCACCACTCCAATTCCCGTACTTCATCAGGACGACTCAGAGCGACTTATACCAAATGGACGCGATAGCTTCGATCGTAGACTACTACGGATGGAAAGAAGTGATCGCTGTGTTCGTAGACGACGACTACGGAAGAAACGGCGTCGCATCGCTCAACGACAAGCTCGCGAGCAGGAGACTGAGGATCACTTACAAGGCCGGTTTACATCCGGACAACGCTGCGAACAAGAACGAGATCATGACCATACTGATCAAGATCATGCTGCTTCAGCCGAGGATCATCGTGATTCATGTTTACTCGGAGTTAGGGTTTGCTGTTTTCAAAGAGGCCAAGTATCTTGGGATGATGGGGAACGGTTACGTTTGGATCGCTACGGATTGGTTGTCTACGACTCTCGACTCTTCTTCTCCGCTTCCTTCTGAGAGGCTTGAAACGATTCAGGGAGTTCTTGTGCTTCGTCCGCACACGCCGGACTCGAGGTTGAAACGTGAGTTTTACTCCAGGTGGCCTAAGATTCGTGACGCTGATTTGTCTCTTCACGCTTATGGTTTATATGCTTATGATTCGGTTATGCTCTTGGCTCGTGGTTTGGATAAGTACTTCAAGCACGGAGGGAAGATCTCTTTCTCGAACGACTCCATGCTCGATGCGTTAGGGAAAAGCGGAAACTTAAACTTAGAAGCGATGACGGTGTTTGACGGTGGAGAGACTCTGCTTAAGGATATACTCGGAACGCGTTTTGTTGGTTTAACAGGAGAGGTTCAGTTTACTGCAGACAGGTCTCGGACTAAGCCGGCTTACGATATCATCAACGTGGCTGGAACCGGAGTTCGGTTAATAGGTTACTGGTCGAATCATTCCGGTTTATCAGTTGTGTCACCTGAGTCGCTGTATAGAGATAAGCAGGAGAATGTGTCGTTTGTTGGGGGTGCGACGAGTCCGAAGCTAAGGCATGTGCTTTGGCCTGGAGAGACGGTTCAGAAGCCGAGAGGATGGGTGTTTTCGAACAACGGGAAAGAGCTCAAGATCGGTGTGCCACGTCGTGTTAGTTACAAGGAGTTTGTGTCGCAGATTCGTGGGACTGAGAATATGTTTAAAGGTTTTTGTATTGATGTGTTCACAGCTGCGGTGAATCTCTTACCGTATGCGGTTCCGGTTAAGTTTGTTCCTTATGGAAATGGAAAGGAGAATCCGAGCTACACTCATATGGTTGAGATGATAACAACTGGTGTGAGTGTTTCTCTTCTACATTCTTCTTTAATGTTTCTCTGTTTCAGTTTTTCATTTCTTTCAAACTTTTGAAAATGCAGAATTTTGATGGAGTGGTTGGTGATGTTGCCATTGTAACAAACCGGACAAAGATTGTGGATTTCACACAACCTTACGCAGCTTCTGGACTAGTTGTTGTTGCTCCGTTCAAGAAACTGAACTCAGGAGCTTGGGCTTTTTTAAGACCTTTTAATAGACTTATGTGGGCAGTCACTGCTTGTTGCTTTCTCTTTGTTGGTATTGTTGTTTGGATCTTGGAGCATAGGATCAACGATGAGTTCAGAGGCCCTCCTAAGAGACAATGCGTCACTATTCTCTGGTCAGTCTCAATAATCTTGTAGTTAAGGTCTAGAGACAATGCTGATCTATTTGTTTGATATCTTGCAGGTTTAGCTTCTCAACCATGTTCTTTGCACATAGTAAGTGAAAAAGAAAACTTACAAACACACTTGTGATTCCTTTGCTTTGACTGATATGACTCTCTCACTTGGTTTTGGCAGGAGAGAACACAGTAAGTACACTTGGGAGGTTGGTTCTGATCATATGGCTATTCGTTGTACTAATAATCAACTCGAGCTACACGGCTAGTCTCACGTCGATTCTCACAGTTCAACAGCTCTCCTCACCGATCAAGGGGATTGATAGCCTTAGAGAAATGGATGATCCGATCGGTTACCAAGTCGGTTCGTTTGCAGAGCGTTATCTGAGAGACGAGCTCAACATATCAGAGACACGGCTCCGTCCACTTGGATCACCTGAAGCTTACGCCAGGGCTTTGAAAGATGGACCAAAGAAAGGAGGTGTTGCTGCTATTGTGGACGAGCGTCCGTATGTCGAACTCTTCCTCTCTAGCAACTGCGCTTATAGGATCGTTGGTCAAGAGTTCACCAAAAGTGGTTGGGGATTTGTAAGTCGTCTTTCATATACAATCTCCAAACTGCATTTGCTTATATTTGACATTTTGGTTCATTTTGTTTAGGCATTTCCTAGAGACTCTCCTCTAGCGATTGATCTGTCGACAGCGATCTTGGAGCTGGCGGAGAATGGAGATCTGCAGAGGATACATGACAAGTGGCTGATGAAGAACGCGTGTACTCTAGAGAACGCGGAGCTTGAATCGGACAGGCTTCATCTGAAAAGCTTCTGGGGACTGTTTCTCATATGTGGAGTTGCGTGTGTTTTAGCTCTGTTTCTCTACTTTGTTCAGATCATCCGTCAGCTTTATAATCCAAAGCCTGAAGAGGATGGTGGTGATGCCATTGCGAGAGAGAATCATGACTCCTCTTCTTTGCGGTCTACTCGTTTGCAGAGATTCTTGTCGCTCATGGATGAGAAAGAAGACGTGTCTAAAGCGGGAAGCAAGAAGAGAAAGATCGATGGATCAGTGAAGGATACTTCTGGTTCGGGATCAAGAAGGTCTCGAGGATTCGACAGAGAAAGAAGCTTTAATTCTGTAAATCCATTAGACTGAAAGTGTAGTTACAGGGACGTATAGTGATTATTTAAAGACATCAAAACTGATCATAGTTTTAAAGTTGATCCAAGCAATTATGTCTTCCCTAATTCCTTAAACTTAGTCTTAGGAGGAGTTTTTGAGTCCTTCAAAGAAAGTGTTTACTAGTTCACATAAAACGGATAATAACACTCTGCTTTGTGCCAAGGTCATAAATGTTATTTGCATTCACAGTTTCTAAGAACCAACCTACCAACTTCTCACAAACTCTCACAGCCGCACATTGATCTTAAGGCTTAGCGATCTGAAACGTTGAACGAAGAAACCATACCGTGACATTCAATAATCTGGGACCAGTTTATCTTTCAGAGTTAAGAAAAAGCCACGACATTCTCAATCCTCACCCAATCCTTGACGAAATCTAATAATTATTTTTCCATTTAGGACAAAACCAAACAATGAAACCTATCAATACTCTTCACCACACAATATTTTTATTTTTCTGATTTTCTCCAATTAAACCCTCATCTTCCTTATCTTCTTCTACGAACCAAAAAAAAAAAAAAACCCTAGAAAAACCTTCATCTCCCACTACAAGAGCTTTTTGCAGATAATCAGAGGAGATGGCGGGAGAATATTCCGGCAGCCGGAGTTCTAACACGCAGCTTCTCGCTGAACTTGAAGCTTTGAGTGAAAACCTTTACCAGAAACCTCAGGGAAATCGGAGAACAGCTTCTCTCGCTCTGCCGCGCAGTTCTGTTCCATCTGTCGTTTCCGATGAAGCCAGCACAGTGCGAGTTGAGGATCTGACAGTACCAAAGCCGCGGGCTCGGCGTTTGTCGCTGTCTCCATGGAAGTCGAGACCGAAGCTTGAGGCAGAGGAGGAAGAGAATGCGACTCAGGTTAAAAGCATTAAGAAACCAGAGGAGTCGTCGTCGTCGTCGAGTGCCAAGGAAGAGAAAAAAGGGATATGGAATTGGAAGCCGATTCGCGGGTTGGTCCGAATCGGAATGCAGAAGCTGAGTTGTTTGTTATCAGTCGAGGTCGTGGCGGCGCAGAACCTACCGGCGTCGATGAACGGTTTACGCCTTGGTGTTTGCGTGAGGAAGAAGGAAACGAAAGACGGAGCCGTCCAGACGATGCCGTGTAGGGTTTCTCAAGGGGCTGCAGATTTCGAGGAGACGCTGTTCGTCAAGTGCCACGTGTACTACTCTCCGGCGAACGGGAAAGGCGCTCCGGCCAAGTTCGAGCCTCGTCCGTTTTCTGTTTATCTCTTCGCCGTGGACGCCAAGGAGCTTGACTTTGGAAAGCACACGGTAGATTTGAGCGAGCTGATCCAAGAGTCGGTGGAGAAGATGAGCTACGAAGGAGCTAGGGTTAGGCAGTGGGATATGAGTTGGGGGCTTTCAGGTAAAGCTAAAGGAGGTGAGTTGGTTCTGAGATTAGGGTTTCAGATCATGGAGAAAGACGGTGGAGCTGGGATTTACAGTAAACAAGGTGAGTTAGGGCTAAAACCTGGTAGTAAACCTAAGAATTTCGCTGGTTCCTTTGGGAGAAAGCAATCGAAGACGTCGTTTAGTGTCCCAAGCCCTAAGATGACAAGCCGAAGCGTGGCCTGGACGCCAGTTTCCGGCACCGAGCCATCATCGGATCTTCAAAAGATTGAGCATTTGAATCTTGATGAACCTGATGAGAAACAGGGGAAGAAAACAGAGGAAACAGAGCAGAGCGTTGAAGATGATCAAGAACCTGAGTTTGAAGTTGTTGACAAAGGAGAAGATCAAGAACCTGATTTCGAAGTTGTGGACAAAGGAGTCGAGTTTGATGATGATCTGGAAACCGAGAAATCCGAGGGAACCGTAGGCGAAAAAACCGTGGAGATGAAGGAACAACAGGTTAATGTTGATGATCCACGGCATATAATGAGACTCACCGAGCTAGATTCGATTGCAAAACAGATCAAAGCGCTTGAATCAATGATGAAAGATGAGAATGACGGAGGAGAAGGTGAAACAGATTCACAGAGGCTAGATGAAGAGGAACAAACAGTGACAAAGGAGTTTCTTCAGTTGCTTGAGGATGAAGAAAGCGAGAATCTCAAATTCTACCAGCACAAAATGGAGATCTCTGAGCTGCATTCTACTGAATCAGTAGACGACGAATCTGAGAATTACCTCTCGGATCTCGGTAAAGGCATAGGTTGCGTTGTTCAGACAAGAGACGGTGGTTACTTGGTTTCTATGAACCCTTTTGACAATGTGGTCGTGAGGAAAGACACACCTAAGCTTGTGATGCAAGTCTCTAAACAGGTTGTGGTACTACCAGAAGCTGGAGCAGCGACAGGATTCGAACTGTTTCACAGAATGGCTAACTTGGGTGAAGAACTAAACTCGAAGATATCTTCTCTTATGGCAATAGACGAGCTTATGGGGAAAACAGGAGAGCAAGTTGCTTTTGAAGGAATAGCGTCAGCGATTATACAAGGGAGGAACAAAGAACGAGCCAATACGAGCGCGGCGCGTACGGTAGCAGCTGTGAAAACGATGGCTAATGCGATGCACAGCGGAAGAAGGGAGAGGATAATGACCGGAATCTGGAACGTGGAGGAGACTCCATTGACATCGGCAGAGGAGGTTTTAGCCGTTTCTTTACAGAAGCTAGAGGAAATGGTGATTGAAGGACTGAAGATTCAAGCTGATATGGTGGAGGAAGATCCTCCTTTCGAGGTTTCCGCTGCCAAAGGACAGCGGAATCCACTGGAGTTTACCATTCCGCTTGATGAGTGGCTCAAGGAGAATCACACGCAGAAAACGTTGACGGTTTTGGCGACAGTGCAGCTCCGGGATCCGACGAGGAGATATGAGGCGGTGGGAGGGACGGTTGTGGTGGCGGTGCAGGCGGCAGAGGAGGAGAAAGGGTTGAAGGTTGGAAGTTTGCACGTTGGAGGAGTGAAGAAGAATGCGACTGAGAAACGTAGGTTGACGGCGGCGCAGTGGCTTGTGGAGTACGGTATGGGGAAGAAAGGGAAGAAGAAGAGTAGTGTTAAGAGAAAAGAGAAGGAAGATGGAGAAGAGGAAGAACTGTTGTGGAGCTTGTCATCTAGAGTTATGGCGGATATGTGGCTTAAATCTATAAGGAATCCTGATGTGAAGTTGCATAGTTGAGGTTAGAGATTTTCACATTACACACAATAATAAGATGCATTTGTTTTATCTATGTTTGTATATGATTTTTAAACTTTAAAGATTTTACTTTGATTTTCCCACAATATCTTAAACAAAATTAGAAATAGAGGACAACATTTCTTCCTATAAATTTTATAATAGCATGTACGAAATTAATTACATATATTAAAAATAATTACATAGCTAAAGCCTATGCTACCAAAAACAATTGTGTGTAGACATCAACTAACCAAAAGTTATTAGTAAGTTTTAAATTTTGTATTGAGTGGGCTAGTTTTAAGGATCACTGAACCAAGATCCATTGATCGAAGAAGATGGCTAAACATTCTCATTTTTCATTCTTTTTCTTCGCCTTCTTATGCCATTGTTCTAATGCCCTTGAAGTTTGTTCATCGAACACTGATCGCTTCATCGTCGATCCCATCTGTAAATACATTTCCAAATGAATTATACTTTGTTCTATGGAGGAGAATATATTTATATATCGAAGGAAAACAAAATTATAGATGTGGCATGCCTGAGTGACGAGAGCATATAGAGGTAGTGTGATATAACTGCATAAGAATTGTACTCCCACCCTAAATCCAATGCCATATATATGTTAAATTGTGATAAGCTCAAAAATCGAATTTTTTTTGTAGCACAAGCAGACGAATCTTGTTACATACCCTAGGCAGACACGAGCGATTATAAGGGCAAAATGGGTATGAAAACATGACCTTAAACCGAACTCGTACTGCAAAAATAATCAGCAGCTCATTATTAAATTACTTTATAGAAGACACTAAATGTAATAGGGAAACGTAGACGAAAAGATTAGCAAAGGATGCCGCGTAATTTACCCAAATCCAAATAAAGTAAGTAATCTCGAAAGCATTCTGAAAATTTTCAAAACAGAAGAAATCAGTAATCATGTTATCACATAAATACATATTGATTTATTCAGATTTTTTTTTTTTTTTTGGAACAAAGCTTTTTATTCAGATTTTTCTAAATAAACAACCTAGGAATTTCTTTTCGTTTAATATTACTATCATATTTGTGGAAACTTTGGCTATGTCAATATCAGTGCCATAATTTACCTGGAATAGAACAAAGTGGATCATATGAAGGACAAGAGCGGGTTTGCCTAACCAAAAATGTTGGTCGGAGACATTGACAAGAGGCATCCCTTGAATTACTGCATGTCTCTCTTGAATCTCCAGTGCCATGTATGATATAATGGCTTGAAGCTTTGTTCCTATGGCTAGTGTTAACTTTTAAAACCAACCACAGTTAGCTTAAAAAACAAAAATATTTTGTGTTCGTATTTTGTAGTAACTAAGGACTCTGTATAGTAGATTATCTAATCACGTACCAGTGGAGGAACCATGGTGATTACGGCAGTAACATACCATCCTATTTTTTTTTTCAAAAAAATAAAAAATAAAAAAATAAGCTTAATTTTGTATGCTACAAACATAAGACAAGAGCATTACAATTTGGAAAATATAAGAAACGAGGACTAACCGTGTACATCAAAGAGTAAAAAGAGCATTACAAAGGCCCATAGCTCAGGTCTGCCATCACGAATGGTAGATTGCAATAGAAAGAAAAAAAAAATGACGTCTCATTAGAGACACAAAACGGAGTGAAAATGTAAAAACATAAATAAAAAGAGTTACCTTATTCCCACCACCACCTTGAAGTCGTCTTCCAACGACCTTTTGATGTACTTTTGAAAATTAAACTTCATACCAGGTGCCAAATGAACCTAAATACAGTTGGATATTTTGAGAATGAGCTCAAAACAAATTAAAACTATATTCTGATGTGTCACATTCTAGCATGTCCCTCGGAGACGTATCACTATAAAGTGGAAAATCGTCTATTAGGTCAAGTTTGGATACCATTTTAAAAATCATGAATATGCAACTCAAAACCAATTAACAATGAATGGATTGATCAATGTTCATTTTATACTAGATTAAATTTAAACAGATATATCTAAAACCATTATGTATAATATCAATGAACTCACACTTATAAACCCATGTCGCATTGTCAAGTAATCGGACCTTCTCACTGATCTGAGTATCTGACGGAAGAAGCACATCTAAGAAATAAATAAAAATATGTTATCTGTTTCCATGAGAGATAGAAAGAATGAACCGATTGATCGAGAATGGGACACTTAGAAGCTAGGAAAATCTTACAACGTAGAAGGAGAATTTATTTCTAGCCCAAGGATTGACATGTTCACGGACAAATGATGTCTCATGTGTGAGTCTAAATCTTGATGGGTCTGTATAAAAATTTGATCGAAAATAAGAAGTTAGGTTAATAATTTTACTTTAGATTTTGTGGAGATATCATATAAAAAAAATAGAGTTTAGTCTACCATTCAACATTTCTTGTTCGTTGATGACCTCTTGCTCCCATACTTTCCAGCCGCGAATCTGTGTTTATGAAAAGGATGCATTACTTCACTCACAATGATCATCATCAATATATGGATACATGCAAATTAAGAGGATCTTCTTTTAATTAATATGTTGCAACAGGAGCACTCGAACACAAATACCTTGGCTCTTCCAAGCATCATGGTTATGGCACTGTATATCACATGGAACACGGCCAGAAAGAATATGAAAATATGCACTTGATGTAATGCGTTTAAAGATATAAGCGGTACATAACCCTGCAACAAAAATGAAAAAGCGATTTTATCAATATAAGCAACAGAAAAAATTTAAAATTAAATGCCACATGCGGATAAGAATCATAAGTATTACAGCCTTGCAGTTCACTGGAGCAGCGTCGGCCAAAGAACGACGGTGAGCGGAGAAAATAATCATTGCGTGGTTTGTTTTCTTAAGCTTCTTATCATCACCACTAGGCCCATCATATGGACCACAAAACGACATCGCATGGCCGTATCTTGACGGAACACATATACTCGCAATGTAGTTTTGGCCAAATGTTAGAAGCAGAGAAATAAATCCCAAAACCATGAGCTCTACAAATTTTTTTAAAAAAAATAGGTGTCAGATTGTTGATTTCAAAAAACCGAAAAGAAAAATTCAACAATCAAAATTCCTAAAAAGAAACTAAGATCATGTGGTCTAATGGTTTGTTAAAGCTGCTTGAAAACTTGTCCTGTGGATCAAAGGCCAGAATTAGGTTTCGAAATTTATGAAAATCTATGTGGTTTTTTCTTGCCCAATGTAAATGTCTTAAACGGCAAAAGTGTCCAGAATTCTACATAATTTTTCAAAAAAAAAAGAAGTCTTGATAATGCATATAATACCATTTTTTATCTTCTCAAGTGCTTCGAACAAGGCTTTCTTCTTCTTTTTCTCGAAAACCTGCGATCACGGACGTTTGATGAAAAAGAAATAAAGACACTAAAGAAACATAAGATATAAGTTGTGTATGAAATGACCTCGCCGACTTTGTGAATGATGAGTTCCAAAATAATGGAGATCAATATGATAACACCACAAACAGTAGAGACGGCCCAAGTCGGGGTCTGATCTAGCTGTCTCGGACCTCCCCCGCCTCCACCTCCACCTCCACCTCCACCTCCAGCCATTTTCTTGAAACGTGATGATTAATTATCTCTCTTTATCTCTGACCTAATCTTTTTTTTTTGTTAAAGATCTCTGACCTGATCTTACAGTCAAATCCAATATAAGATGATAAAATATGGAGTCAAAGAGACAGAGAGAGGACAAAGGAAGAGAATATTGTTGCCATTGACGCATGCTAAAATAGTAGGAAAAAGCGTAGATAAATCCGGTAAGTTAGTTTTTATGATCGTTTCTTTTTTATTTGTTTCTTTCTTTTTTCTTTCCTATTTTATAGCTTCTACCATTATTCAAAGTGGTATTGTATGGAGTAGAACGAGTGCCAATTCTTGGTGGGGAAATTTCGAAAGAATGTAAAAATAAAATGTCAAACTGAAATTGACTGTCGTTAATTTACTGAAATCTAGATAATATGAAAAAGTACGCCTAGCAAAAATGTGTTTGCCTTTTGTGATGAATTTTCCCTTTTGGCAAAAAAAAATGGTCTTCTGGCAACAAAATTGTTCATGATGTGATTGTTTACAGACGATCAACACTCTGTAATAACTAAATTTGTCGACAAATTACAATATAACATGTTACAAGTTGTAACTTACAACTACGATAATATGCAGTTTCATACCACTGATCAAGGTAATTAAATTGTAAAGCTCAAAACGGTAAAAACCAAAACTGTATGATTAGATTGGATTCTCGAAAAAGGTTACAAACAATATAAACGTGAGAGAAATCTTGTCAAGCAATCATGAAATTCGTTATACCAGACAAAAACGGAAGCATTGATAATATGGACCCCAAACAGTTCTTGACAGCTAGTATAAATTAGATAGATGAGACGTACTCTTACATCACAAGCAGACAAAACCATTTTAAATTTATTTGACTTGAATAGGATTTGATTGACTACACAGATTGAGCATGTATTTATTCGTTAACATGCTTCTTTTATTTAACAAACCAAACGATTTAAAAATTAACATAATACACACATCACACACACTCACAGAAAACCACAAATTTATCTTCCAAACATAAACCAGTCTCACCGAATAACTTTATATCCATTCATCAGTTCTCTGCCCTGGTTGCTTTTGTGCTCATCTTGCTCCAAACAGACCATATCTGATCAGAGAGGAGGAGTTTTGTCGCTGAAAAACCGAGCAACAACTCTGTCTTCAAGAATTGCTAAAACTTCAGGAGAGTTGGTACACATAGGTGTCTTGTATTGAGATGCAGAAGCACTACCCTCAGAGATGAAATGTTCCATGAGATAATCGAACGTTCCTTCTTGCACTACCCTTATCTCTAGAGCTCCGATGGAGTCATCCTTATTCCTAAATCCTCTATAAAGAGCATTAAATGATTCCTCCATCACACAACAACATTCCACCGGAGCATTAAATGATACCAAGCTTAACAATGCCATCAAAGTTTTTAGCCTTGAGCTCCCAATAAAAAACGTAGTGACCGGGAATATTGGAGATATCAGAATAGCATGTGAAGCCCATCAACATTAATCTTGACGACTCAAGAACAACTCTCGCACGACTCAACGCCTTCATGATATCTTCTTCAGTTGTTACCTCCATGAAAACACTTATAACCATATTTTTTCTACGTACAAATCTGAACTGAGGTGCACTATTGTAAAATCCAGTCACCTGTAGAATATCTCCCAATCTATATCTGTATATCCCTAGAAACAAAAATAGTTGTAAATGATTAGCTTTGATAATATAGCATGAGAGATATAATCTAGAAAAATACTATTATATATTTGTGTATATATAACTCACCAAAATGTTTTGTGACCAAGACCTCATATGAGCAACCTAGCTTGACGTTCACAAGATCAACTATTTCATCATTGTTTCCTTCTTCTTGGAACTCGAAGTAGGACATATTAGGGAGAAATGTATAAGATACATCTTGTGGTTTGCAAAGAGGATTCACATTTATCCCTAACAATGTTTCAGAAGACGCATAATTCATGGAGATGATAGGCAATTTGTTGGAGTAGAACTCCAATACTGGAATGTATTGGCTCATCTGTCCTGTAACTACGGTTTGAACAAACTTGATGTTGGGCCATAGTCGTGTGATCATACCTTCCCATGATTTCTGACTGCACTCATGTTCAATCAAATCTGCCAATTCAAGATTAGGTCCTCCAAGTATGACGGAGACAGAGTCTCTGCAACCAAGGTCGGTGATCCACTCGCTAAGATGACCAGATCGGATATTACTACACAATTCTTTCCAGGAAGTTTCAAGAAATTTGATAGCTTGGATTACCGTTGAAGCAAAAGGTGCAAAAACACTCACAACCTCCTCTCTCTGGACAAGAGCACAAAGAAGATGACAGTACATGCACTGGTTGTTGTCGGTACATAATATGACCTGGTCGGGGCTGGCATAACATTTGGATGACCGCTTCTTAAAGTAATCACTCATGATGAAGCTTGTAATCAGAGGAGCAACAGGTATACCAGACGGAGTTTTGGATAACGGTCTAGTGTTAAGAAACGCTACCACCTTTCCATCCTTAGCGCCATTGATATGCCTAAAAATTAGGAAACAATTAATAAAAATTAGGTTTTACTATGAATTTGAAAAGAGAAACATAGATAAGATCTAATTATTTTTTTATGGAAAAAAAGTTTTACTTCGATAAAATGGAGGAGCGTAAATCTTCGCTGAATATCTTCTTCTCAAAGTACTTATCATTGACAGGGAAGATCTTCCTTTTTCCTCCTGTAGTTCCAGAGCTACACAAACCAATAAGGTGGAAATCTCTCTTTTTAAAATTTAAAAACTAGATTATCCATTAATCACATAATCATTTAATAACTAGAATTTGACCCGTGTCCAGCACAGGGTGATGGTTTCTGAATTTGTATTCTTTATCAAAACATGTTTATTTAAGTATCTCGAAATTTTATACGACAGATTTTTAACCTTTATTAGATTAATGTTTTAGTTTAATCGTTTATAGTATGGAAATTAAGTATTTTAATATATTTTTCAAAAAGGTAAATAAATTAAAGTCTTGATTGTAGCTATAAATTAAATATGATAGATGTAAGAAAGATACACAAAACTCAAATGACTATAATATAATAAAATAGTTTAAAAAAATGAAAATAAAACATTATTCTTTTAATTTTTTTATAGATCATGTATTTTATAAAATAATAAGTTTTAGTTGTGTGTACACGGATTAAAACTAATTTTGTTTCTTCTTTCAAATTTAAAATATGCTTTATTATAATTTTAAAATAATTCAACCAATAAGAAAAAATCGGCATAATCTAATAATCTAAAAATATAGCAATGTTTATTTTCAGTTGCAAACACACCCAACTTTTACGTTATCTATATTATACTTGCTTTATCCAAAAAAAAAATCTATATTATACTTTAGGCATATAACTAAAAAAAAAGAAAAAAAAATATTTCCTATGAATTTCAAAGTTCTAGTGATATTTTTTGTGTATCTTTTCCATTGATCGAAACAGCATCAATGTGACCCACTTCCACAATTTGACTGATAACATCTTATATTAACAAAATAAAGATGATATAGTTAGATTAATTATTATCGTGATGAATAATAATACAAACACAAACAAAAAAAATTTAAACTTTGCTAAACAATAAGTGATATTCGAAATGAGGTGTTGCTATTGCTTCTTCGTGGTTCTTATATAGTATGTAGATTAGGACTTACTGCAATATTGACTCACATTTACTCGTGATTGAAAAAATTGAATCTCACTTACCAAAAGTTTAATACTCCCTCCGTTTTTTTAAGATGAATTTTCTAGCAATTATGTGTTGTTTCACAAAGATAAATTTTTTACCTTTTTGAAGCACTTTTTCAGTTTTCAAGAAACATTGATTGTATTTGTTGGATTTTTATTGGTTTAAAATTATAAAAAGTTGTTTTATTACAGAAATCTATGCACTAATGATTGAAAATCAACTTTTTCTTAATCCGTGTGAAAAAATTAGAAAATTTATCTTTAAAAAACGGAGGGAGTAACAATTACACATATTACGGCCCACATTATTATTTGATTATCATCTTCTGCTTATAATCAGCTGCCAAGAATAATTGTAATTGAAGATATATTTGGATTAAACAATAAAACTTTCTTCCCTTATCCAAGTATTATAACGAATTAATTTCAAATTCTCCCATATTGTAACTGTAAACTTTACTAAAATATAAGTCAAATAATGGCATATATATTAATGATGATTAAGCTATGACTTTACGTTAAACCTCAAATCATAAAAGCCATTTTGAATTTACATTTAATTAAAATGCCATGCACATAAATAAAAAATGCCTTGCACTACGATTTGTTATCACCTATTCTTAATGTATGAGTTACATTTTGTCTATAAACCAATGTATCATGCAAAAACCAGAGAAATAATTAATTGATTTAATTCATACTAAAATTCACAACCATTAATTTTTAAATAAGTGAAATAAGTGTATAATAAATTCATATTTTGTATGAAATTATTTATTGAAACTAAATAATATATGTCAATATCAAACTCACGATTATATGTTAATATTCTTGATTTAATGTTGAATATAAAACAATGAGGTATGTAAAATAAATGATAGAATGAATAAATATAATGCATACAAAACGTATGTATATAAGTACATTAATCAATTGCATAATACTTGATTAGTTATTTTATGGTAATAATATGTTTGGTTAATTATTTTATGATTTTGGTTGTAACCAAATAATTAAGAGAAAGAATGCAATGACATATAATGTAAATAGTCTAGTAAATATTGTCTTAATTAAAAAGTGTATTGAAAGTGAATCTAGTAATGACACGTCAGCATGACATTTTGGTTAATAACACATGGAATAAAGGTTTATTTCAAAGTGTTTTCTCTTTTAATATATTATGGATGTATACCTGAGGAAGAAATGAGTAATTGGTTCACCGGAGATTACATTTGAGGATTCTCCATTCGCAACACGTTCAATATATACCTTAATATCTTCATAGATCACCACCGGTACGTTATTCTTGAACGATTCTTTATCAGTGCTCCCATGGAAAAAGCGTCCAAGACACTCTGTGTTTGCGTTAACTTTGAGTATCTCCTCCAACATATCGTCTTGTATTTGCTTCACATTTGACGTCAACTCCTCTAGATCACTGAGCTCGTAGCTTAGATTCATATTTCGGTTTGATGTTTGGGTTTGATCTCTTGATTGACCTCAAGTCATGGGTTCTATCTATTATATAGAGCAAAACATTTGAGTAAATCAACTTGTTTAGAAAACGCCGCATACAAGGAAAACGAGTAGATTTTATTTGTATAAAATAATTACAAAAGTTAATGCTTAGAAGACGTTAAAAAAAAAGTTAATGCTTAGAAAATCGTGCGAAACAATTCGATCAAAAACATCCCAAGCTGTCAAGTATATATATTGTATTTTTAAAAAGCTAAAGAAAAAAAACACAATCTTTTATATACTTATATACAACCATGTGACCGATTGACCGGGCATAAATAATTTTAAACTAAATTATAACCCCCGCTAATGCGCGAGTAATGAAATTTTAGTCCTTTTTGAAAGCTGAATTTATTTTAAATTACATTTGTTATACAATGATTAGAAAAGTCAATGCTTTGAGAATCGTGTGAATCGATTGGATCGACAGCATCTTACGCTGGCAAGTATATACTGTATTAATGCATGGGAGATTTGGTTTAATATTTTTAGTATTCTTCAAGTTAAATTTTGTCGGGAAATTGACACATCAAGAACATGAGAGGGGAGAAAAAAAACGAGAGAGATAATATTCGTGTCAGAGAAAATTTCATACACAAATATCATTGTGTGTGAAAATGTTTGCTAAATCGTAGAAGCACAAGAGAAATCAATCAATCATACACCTTTTTGACGGCGTTATTTATGCATATTTTGTCTAGAAAGGAAGATACATGTTCATACTGAGGCCTATGAACTTTGTAACTTCCTCATTAGTAAATGAAATTATGTTGAGAAAAGAAATAAAAAAGAAGGTTTTTGGAACGAGTTAACAACTTATTTTCACATGAAACCGTTAAAACAGAATAGTGATACAAAATAAAGTTATTATTCAATTCATATATAATGAAACACAACTCGGTTCGAAAACCTTGCTTTTATTACACGAGATTTCGTAATTGAAATAAATGCCAAAATGAAAACATCGGAGACAACATACATAACAAAGTAGCGGAGACGAGAGGTACGCCGCCCTGAAAGGAACTTCATAATCAAATTTTATATGAGAATATAAACCAAGGACGTCACTTGGTGATGGGTGCACCATTTTCTTGTGACGCTCCTCCCTCACCTTCTTATCCTTGTAGTTTATTCTCGGCAGGAGGAACAACAGGGAGCGGGCCAAAATATGCCCCAAGAGCATCAATAGCCAAACCAGCCCGTCCATGGAGCCCGACAAGAGCCTTTCCTTTGCTCTCCAGCACGAAAGTTTTTTCACATACGCCTCCATATGTAGGAGATGTTCTTTTTGTTGATGTCTTGAAACTCAGCGACCTAACTCGGTTTGTAAGGCCAGGGACTAGGTCACAACTCCCCTCAATAGATGTAATATACTCATTTGGATAGTCCAGTACAAACTGCAATAAAAAAAAAATTAAGAAATGGTTACTTACACGTTATTCAAGTTATAAAAGGTTATTAAACGAATGTTTTGTGATCTTTCCCAGCTATAACGAATGTTATCGCTATCTCTACTTCTCAGTAACGAATGTTATAAAGGTTAATAAACGAATGTTTTATGATTTCCTCCTTACGTGTTATCACTATCTCTACATCTCCCGGTGAACTTTTTAGCCTACTATTTGTTTTGAAGAACTCATAGTTCTATTTGTATTAAAACTTTAGCATTTTATCCCCAAAAAAAGGAGTTAAGGAATGTTTAAGTTAGGACCTCGTATTGTTTTCCTGGGACCTGATTCTCTCCTTTCAGATTCCCTTCTTGACGCATTTCCACTTTGCCAGCTTTGTCGTAGTGGACAATGATATGTGATATCCCAGGGGGATTGTATGTAACAACCACCTTTCTTACACCCGTGTAAACGCCATGGTCCCATGTGTTGCCTCCAGTACCACCTTGTTGTCCCAGTTTAACAACAGAAACAACAGGGAGCGGACCAAAATATGCCCCAATAGCATCAATAGCCAAACCAGCCCGTCCATGGAACCCGACAAGAGCCTTACCTTTGCTCTCCAGCACGAAAGTTTTTTCACACACGCCTCCATATGTAGGAGATGTTCTTTCTGTTGATGTACTGAAACTCACCGACCTAACTCGGTTGGTAAGGCCAGGGACTAGGTCACAACTCCCCTCAATAGATGTAATATACTCATTTGGATAGTCAAGTACAAACTGCAATAAACAAACTAATAAATAGTTACTTACACGTTATTCAAGTTATAAAGGTTAACGAATGTTCAGCCTACTATTCTTTTAGTATAACTCATAATTCTATTTGTATTAAAATTTTAGCATTTTATCCAAAAAAAAAGGAGTTAAGGAATGTTTATATTAGGACCTCGTATTGTTTTCCTGGGACCTGATTTTCTCCTTTCAGATTCCCCTCTTGACGCATTTCCACTTTGCCAGCTTTGTCGTAGTCGACAATGATATGCGATATGCCAGGGGGATTGTACGTAACAACCACCTTTCTTACACCGATGTAAACGCCATGGTCCCATGCGTTGCCTCCAGTACCACCTTGTTGTCCCAGTTTAACAACACCTGTGTCGAAGTGAGGCCCAATAGCATCAAGAAGTTGACCAGAACGTCCATGGAATCCAAGAAGCTTTCCTCCATTTTTTCCCTCCAGCAAGAATTCGTCTCCATTCGTCTCACCAAATTTTGGAGAGGTTCTTCCAGTGGAGGTTGTGAAATATAGCGATGTGATAAACACTGAATCATAATTGAAAATATGATTGTAGCTTCCACCAACGGCTGTGATATATTCATTCGGTTTCACTGAAAACTGGAGTTTCATTATTCATTAGAAATATCGAATTGTTAGCTTCCAAAGGTTTGACAAGAACCAAATAAAAAGTAAAGAATTCACAAAATTTTATTTTATTTATTTGACCTCTTTCAGTTCTCCAAGAATTGTTTCCATTGTTCCGTGAACACGGGTTTCAAATTTTCCGTCTTTTTCGTATTCGATCTTGATGTAACCTAGACAGTGTTTGTCTTTTCCGACAGTTACTTTCTTCACACCATCAAAAACACCATCGTCGAATGCGTCTCCCTTGATACCACCTAAGGGTCCAGTCTTTTCGGATAATATTTCCATTACGAACTTCAGTAAAACTCAAAACCTGAAAGATTGAAACATTTTTTTTTCAGAAAAAAACACACAAGTAAAAGTCACTGAATTACTACTTTTTCGAGCAAATTCTTGTTTCTCACGTTCTAATATTGTGAGATACTTTTACATGGTAATGTCAAATCAGTCTCCTTCTGAGTTTTGAGTCATGTACCTGGAAATTGGAATACAACTAACTATAGGAGAAACATGTACCGATACTTCTATAGATGCATCAAACTTCCAAAACAATTGTAGTTATAGGACATTATTAAAAGAACAACGATTGATTCGTGGCTATCCGTTAACAAATGATGCTTAGAAAAGTCATATAATGCAAAAACAAGGAGGAAACAATACAATATCATCATAGCTTGGATAGAGAATATCGACACAAATTGTGAAAATAGAGTCGAGGAAAAGAAGAAGGCAAATTAAGTTATAAAAAAAAGGAGAGAGCGAGACCTTAGGTTGGAGAAGAGCTGCCAGGGAGAATGATTTTGGATTTGGGGTATTGCTGCTACTCAGTATTTATAGACACTTAAAAAAAGAATAAGTATACTCTTCACATTTTTATTAATCACATTACTTCTTTGCTTTGCTGACTTTTTAATGTTGTCATTGAAGATTGTTTTGGTTATAATTCTACAAGAATTAAACATTGAACATAGCTATGGTTATATGCCAACGATTATATACTCCATGTCTTATGTAATTTATGACTGTAGCAGAAACTATACCGGTCAAAATTCGTAAATAGCCTAATAGGCCAAATTTTTGAGCCGGAACTTTTATGCTAACAATTATATACTCCATGTCGCATGTAATATGTGTCAACAACCATGAGCAGGGTTATTAAATTCTAAAGCTAAAAAAGGTAAAAAACCATACATGTAAAATTGACTATATGATGTGTGAATGTTAGATTGGATTCTCGAAAACGGTTACAAACAATATAAACGTGAGAGAAATCTTGTCACATGACTTCGTTATACCAAACAGAAAAATACAAAAACGGAAGCATTGATAATAATATGGATTATGGACCCCAAACAGTTCACATGTTCTTGACAGGTAAGATCTTAGTACGTTGCTGGAGATACAAAGGAAGCAGGGATATATATGGATAAGATATAACTTGATGATGATGATATTTTTTTTTCCCTTAACAATCACATAACTAAATACAGTAGACTCTATAAATTAAAACTCGATAAATTAATAAATTTCTCAGGTTCTAAGTTGGATCGATGTAAAATATGGCACAATTCGATAAGATAATAAGATAATACATTTTTTAAACTCCTATATAAAATATGGTCCCAATAATATCATAAATTAATAATTATCATATAAAAACTTTTATATATACACGTAAGATATCTAGCTAACAAAATATAAATTTCTCAGCCACAGATATATAAAAAAAAAAATAGAATAATATGGCAAGTATGAGAAAATGTAAGCAAATATAGAAACATAAAAAATGTAAGAAAATATACCTATAAAGGAAAGTTCTTATTTAATTTGAAAGAAAATTTAAAAGATTATTAATATTAAATTTTTTTTTTTTTGAAAAATATTTTTTAGTCAAAATCTATATATTAATAACTCTATAAATTAATAAAATATCAAAGTCCCGACATTATTAATTTATAGAGTTTCTAATGTAGTCTAAATTAATAAACTATCGAAAAAAAAAAAAACACTAATAAGATCACCAAACTGCCCGCACTCTTGTGGTCCAGTGGTAAGGGGAAGCCTTGGTGAAGGGTGAAACTCCGAGACCCGGGTTCGATCATCCCTGGAAACAAAATCACATTTGTGTGGGAAGTCTGTCAGTTGGGCCTAGGCCCAATTGGTTTACCTGGTAATTAGAAATGCAGGCGGCCTGATTATCCCCTGGCATTAGTCGGAAGGCACTCCAAACTCGGAATAGGCGGTGTGGTAGTTCTTAGGATGAGTTCACTTTGTAGCACCTTGGTGCGTTCCTCCCGGGGCTAACCGGAAACCGATATGGTCTATTAAAAAAAAAAAAAAAAAAAAGAAAATCACTAAACTGATTATGTACTTTGAAAGAAACATAGTCTCTAACAAAAACACCAAACGGGTTAAAAATTAAATGGACCCAACATGAAAAGAAACACGTAAAACCCCACCAATGAAAGATGATACGTACTCTACATCACAAGCAGACAAAACCAATAGATATTATTTGATTTGAATAGGATTTGATTGACTACACAGATTGAGCATGTATTTATTCGTTAACATGCTTCTTTTATTTAAAAAACCAAACGATTTAAAAATTAACACACTACGCACATCACACACACTCACAGAAAACCACAAATTTATCTTCCAAACATAAACCGGTCTCACCGAATAACTTTATCCATTCACCAGTTCTCTGCTCTGGTTGCTTTTGTGGTCATCTTGCTCCAAACAGACCATATCTGATCAGAGAGGAGGAGTTTTGTCGCTGAAAAACCGAGCAACAACTCTGTCTTCAAGAATTGCTAAAACTTCAGGAGAGTTGGTACATATAGGTGTCTTGTATTGAGATGCAGAAGCACCACCCTCAGAGATGAAATGTTCCATGAGATAATCGAACGTTCCTTCTTGCACTACCCTTATCTCTAGAGCTCCGATGGAGTCATTCTTGTTCCTAAATCCTCTATAAAGAGCATTAAATGATTCCTCCATCACACAACAACATTTCACCATTACCTTGTTACCGAGCTTAACAATGCCTTCAAAGTTTTTGGCCTTGAGTTCCCAATAAAAATCGTAGTGACCAGGAATAGTGGAGATATCGGAATAACATGTGAAGCCCATCAACATTAATCCTGAAGACTCAAGAACAACTCTCGCACGATTCAACGCCTTCATGATATCGTCTTCAGTTGTTACCTCCATGAAAACACTTATAACCATATTTTTTCTGCGTACAAATCTGAACTGAGGTGGAGTATTGTAAAATCCAGTCACCTGTAGAATATCTCCCAATCTATATCTGTATATCCCTAGAAAAAAAAATTGTAAACGATAGCTTTTACAATATAGCATGAAAGAGATAATCTATAAAAATATACTCATTATATATGTGTATATATAACTCACCAAAATGATTTGTGACCAAGACCTCATATGAGCAACCTATCTTGACGTTGACAAGATCAACTATTTCATCATTGTTTCCTTCTTCTTGAAATTCCAAGTAGGACATGTTGGGGGAAAATGTATAAGATATATCTTGTGGTTTGCATAGAGGATTCACATTTACCCCTAACAATGTTTCAGAAGACGAATAACCAACGGAGATGAGAGGCAATTTGTTGGAGTAGTACTCCAATATTGGAATGTATTGACTTATCTGTCCTGTGATTATGCTTTGAACGAACTTGATGTTGGGCCATAGCCGTGTGATCATACCTTCCCATGATTTCTGACTGCATTCATGTTCAATCACATCTGCCAATTCAAGATTAGGTCCTCTAAGTATGACAGAGACAGAGTCTCTGCATCCACGGTCGGTGATCCACTCGCTAAGATCACCGGATCGGATATTTTCAAGAAATTTGATAGCTTGGATTACCGTAGAAGCAAAGGGTGCAAAGATACTCACAATCTCCTCTCTTTGGACAAGAGCACAAAGAAGATGACAGTATATACTCTGGTTGTTGTCGGTGCATAATATGACTTGGTCAGGGCTGGCGTAACATTTTGATGACCAGTTCTTGAAATAATCGGTCATTATGAAGCTTGTAATCACCGGAGCAACCGGTATACCAGACAGAATCTTGTATAGTGGTCTAGTGTTAAGAAATGCTAACACCTTTCCATCCTCGACGCCTTTGAAATGCCTAAAAAAAATTGGAAAAAAAAGAATTGATTATTTAAATTTGAAAGGAGGAAATATGTAAATTTAATGTTTTTAATCCAAAACAAAATGATTTACTTTGATAAAATGGAGGAGCGTATTTTTTCGGTATATAACCGCTTCTTAAAGTACTTGTGGTTCGCAGGGAAGATCTTCTTTTTTCCTTCTGTAGTTCCTGAGCTACACAAACCAATAAGGTAAATAATGTCACATTTTAAAATTTAAAGAACTAGTTATGACATAATAAGTCTACTTTATGGAAGTTGATAACGTATATATACCTTAGGAAGAAATGAGTAATGGGTTCACCGGAAAGTACGATTTGAGGGTTCTCCATTAGCGACACGTTCAATGTAAGGTTTAACATCTTCATAGGTGATCACCGGTACGTTCTTCTTGAAAAGCTCTTTATCAGTGCTCCCATGGAGAAAGCGTCGAAGATACTCTGTGTTTGCGTTAACTCGGAGTATCTCCTCCAACATCTCCTCTTGTATTTGCTTTGCTTTCGACGTCAACTCCTCTAGATCCATGAGCTGAGATCTTCGATACATATTTTGTGTTTGATCTCTTGATTCATCTCCAGTCACGGGGTCTATCTATATATACAGAACAAAACAGTAAACTAAATCATAGAGATAGACCTCATGCATGAAAAACATGTTGATTTTATGTGTCAATAATCGAAAAAGTTAACGTTGGGCCATAGCCGTGTGAATCGATTGGATCAAAAGCATCTAAAGCTGGCATGTCAAGTATATACTGTATGAATGTATGGTTTGTAAAAACCCTGGAAATTATATAGACACCATTCTTTTTTTTTGTCGGCAAACAGAGATCGAACTGAGACTGCTATAATCTGTTGAGAAAGACGGATATCACTAGACTACCAAAGGTTTTTGTCAAAACAAGGGCCGATAAAATATATATTCATGGCCGGGGCCGCAAGCTACTGCTTGCTTTGCTTGCTCCCAAAAACGGCTCTGTCGGCAAATACACTATTTTGTAGTAGATGCATGTGAATAAACTGTCATGTATAGTATAACCATAAAAAAAAACCTATAATTAATCAAATAACCATAACAAATGAATGGCTACAGTACTTGGTATATGTTTAAGAAGTCTCTCCAACTCGAAATGATCACCGCTTTGTTGAAAATTTCTCCTCTCCTCGAGAGGCTATACTTAGAAGATGGTTTCGAGAAACATAGTTAGAAAGAATGGAGAAAAACAGTAAGAGATAAAGAACTATTGTGAACGCTTCTACAATATGTTAAATTTTTCTGAATGCTCATTGTATTCCCTCAAAACTATTTGCAATCTGCATTTTTATTCTGTGTTCACTTTAATTTCTCAAATAATGTATGAGTTGATTGTGTAAAATTGAGATTAAAAAAGTCAAACTAGCATAGTAGCATTAACCGGGTTTAGGTAGTTCTTTGACGGTTGATAAATGATCATCTCAGCCACCATTTCGGTTCATAGTCGAACCCAATTCGACCAATCGGTCCGGTTCTCAAATCACTGATTATTATTTTTAATCGATTTATTATTGCCACTGAATCACACACACAGCTTAGATATCATCGAAGAACGTCCTCCGATCTCGCTCTCAACTGCTCTCTCGGGGATCTCAGTTTCTTCTCTTCTTCAATCGATGGCGTCTCTTTCGACCTCTCTCTCTCTTCCCACGAATGCCCAACATCTCCATCCTTCATCTGGTAACTCTCCATCTTAATAGTAACATTCGTTCGATAGACTCTCTCGCTCTCTCTTCATTCTTAAATCCGTTGTAGCTGGTGCGCTAGATTCTATCGAACCCATTTTTCCGAACTTGATTGTGTCTTTACCCTTTACAAGCTTTTATTGGAGGATCCAGATTGTTGTTTCTACTGTGGTGATTTTTTTTTTCCTAAATACAAAATCAATCAGACTTTGATATGATGAGATCAACCTTAATTGGTCCTGTTGATAAGTTTGCTCGGTGTATGCAATGTAGGATTTACTCTTTCGCTTGCGGTGATTTTTTCAAATCATGGTCGAAAATGGTCTGAAATGCATTTTCATGATGCGAATTTAGAATTTTGAAGTGTTTTTTTTGGCTGATATGAGCGTTTAATTAAGAAGTTGGAAGTGTATAACTTTTGTTTCTGAACTCACTTTCTTAAGTCTCCATTTTTATCTTCCATTAATACTAGCTGAAACAGGTTTCTTACTCATTTCATACTGTTTAGATATCTTGAGACACATATATTGATGAGCTTTTATTGCAAAGATGAAAGTGTGGAACTTTTGTTTCTGAATCACTTTCTTCAGCCTCCATTTGTGTAGCCCTTTATAGATAGTGACGCATACCCATTAACACTGCTGACACTGGTTTTATTTCTCGTTTCATATTGTGAAAATAAGCATTCTTTGTGTTTGTTTTTTTTCCAAGAAAGAGTCGAATTCGGTTGATATTTGATGCAGATACACAAGTCCATGATTTTTCAAGCTTCTTGAGTACCATATCTTTCTCTCATTCGATTGCCTGACATTTGTTTGTTCTCATCAAATTTCATGCTAGGCCTTTCTCTGAAGCCAAGTGCACATTGTGTCAATGTTTCTTTTGGACTGAATCGCTCCAACAAACTGCATTTTTCTGCTCCTAGAAGCAAAAGGATCTTGACCATTCAATCAGCATACAGGTATAGTGTTTTGATCCTCTTCTTATTCGTTTTGTTGTTAATAGCTATGGTGAAAGATTGCCTAAATCGTGTCAGTGTTTGAGATGTCCATAGTCAGTCAGTCATACAATGTGGTTCTTGTAACTCCTTAAGTGTTTTCTAATCAAAACAATTGAGAGTTCTAAATTCGAAAATCATGTTTGCACAGACCGTTTCTAATATTATCAAATCTTGCAGAGATGATGACAGTTCAGGCAGCACAGGCCTATTCGTCGGAGGGTTTATTTTGGGTGGACTCATAGTCGGTGCCCTCGGATGTGTATATGCACCACAGGTTGGTTAAGTTGATCACTCTTAGAGCTTGATTTCATTAATATAACTCTCACTGCTCTCCTTGACTATGATTCATCAATGTGAAATGTTAACTTTTGTGAACTGTATCAGATCAGCAAGGTTATAGCTGGAGCAGACAGAAAAGATCTCATGAGGAAATTGCCTAAATTCATATACGACGAGGAAAAAGCTTTGGAGGTGAGTTGTTATAATCACTATACATCTTCCACTTTTAGTTGATCTCTTTGTTGAATTACTTAGTAACTATACTGTGTATGGCTACTGCAGAAAACCAGAAAGGTACTGGCTGAGAAAATCGCACAGCTCAACTCTGCTATCGACGATGTATCCTCTCAGCTCAAATCAGAAGAAGACACCCCAAATGGCGCAGCTCTAAGCACCGATGAAGTCGAGGCTACTGCTTGAACAATCATGATCTGTTTTAGGATTTGAAAATCACGGGTGATTTCTTATTATGATCCTAATAAGTAGTGTTTGATGTTTCTTGTGTAATGTTGTACAACTTTTTCGTCCATCTTCAAGACCGCCTGTTTTTCTTGAATCCTCTTTGAACAATATATCATAATCATACCAAAATCTGAGTTTAAGGAGACAATTTAATCTGAGTCAGATATGACATGTCAGCAAAACTTTCAAAAGACCTGTGACATCAATTAATCAACGGCTCACACAATCTTATCCGTATAGCAATCTTACCTCCACAATAACCACATATTTCATTTGCTTCACTTTGAACCATAGGTTGCTTTTTGATCAAAACCGAAGATGTGATGATACATGTATATATGCCAATGATCAAAAACTAAGTGGCACTCCTAGCAATTTTCTTCTCGTTTCACTTTCAGCTATGGCCACACATTCAGCTCTCGCCGTTTCAAGAATCCCGGTGAAACCGAGGCTGCAGTCTAAGAGTGCCATCCACTCTTTCCCTGCTCAATGCTCCTCCAAGGTAACTTATAGTCTATGTGAGTGTGTGTGTGTGTGTGTGTAACGGTTTGTTGATCTGTTTTCTCTTGTGATTATATCTACACAGAGGCTAGAAGTGGCTGAGTTCTCCGGCCTGAGAGTTAGCAACAACGGTGGGGAAGCATCTTTCTTTGATGCCATAGCTGCACAAATCACTCCTAAGGTGACTAATTGTAACACTGACTCAGTAAAATGTATTGATGTGAATGTGCATGTTGCTGATGATGGGTTTGTAAAATATTAGGCTGTGTTAACATCCACTCCCGTTAGAGGAGAGACAGTGGCGAAACTGAAGGTTGCTATCAACGGGTTTGGAAGGATTGGTAGGAACTTCCTTAGGTGCTGGCACGGACGCAAGGACTCTCCTCTTGAAGTTATTGTCGTAAACGACAGTGGTGGTGTCAAGAATGTGAGTCTTTTACTTTGTGAATCTCTCTCTTTCTCAAAACATGTTTTGACATTGGTGATATGACACATGCAGGCCTCTCACTTGCTGAAGTATGACTCTATGCTTGGAACCTTCAAGGCTGATGTGAAAATCGTCGACAATGAAACCATCAGTGTTGATGGCAAGAACATCAAAGTTGTCTCCAACAGAGACCCTCTTAAGCTTCCATGGGCTGAGCTCGGTATTGACATTGTCATCGAGGTGAGTGTTTTATCTAAAGCTCTAATGACATGGTGGTGAAATCGCGCAAAGATGTATAAATGGTGTGTATATGGATATGATCAGGGAACAGGAGTGTTTGTTGATGGGCCAGGAGCAGGGAAGCATATTCAAGCTGGAGCTTCGAAAGTGATCATCACCGCGCCAGCTAAAGGCGCTGATATCCCAACCTATGTTGTGGGAGTCAATGAGCAAGACTATGCTCATGACGTTGCTAACATCATAAGGTACGTTTAGACAAATCCACTCTTGTAAGAGACAGGAATTGTGGTTTTTGAGTATTAATGGTTCGTTTTTGGTCTTGGCAGTAATGCATCTTGCACCACCAACTGTTTGGCTCCCTTTGCTAAAGTCTTGGATGAAGAATTTGGTACATTACTTTTTCTCTGCTCAAGTTCTTGCTCATTACAATTTTGAAAATGGTTTCTAGCACTCATACATGAAGTGACTTTACAGGAATTGTCAAGGGGACTATGACAACTACACACTCATACACTGGAGACCAAGTAATATATATATATATATATATATATATATATATATTTTTTTTTTTTTTTTGGGTGTGTTTATCCTAGTAAAAACTTAACATTAGAGATAAAAGCTACTTTGAACCAAAAAAAAAAAAAAGAGATAAAAGCTACTAAAGTATAGTTCAGTTTGATTCAGTTTTGGTTTCGATTTGGAGTCGGTTTTTGATCAAATATTATCAATAGTGTTAAACAACATTTATGTGCATTTCAGTTTGGATTAGTTTTTTTCGAATACATAAAAACAAAATGCATTTTGATCATATTACTATTTGGCTTTGATTTATCTAAAATTGACACTCCTTGTACTAGAAAGTATTGAAATGTTACTATGGTGTGACAATAGTAATTAG